ATAACAAAACCTATGTGCTACCAAATAAATGGAGACAACAAAAATTTTTTTTGAGCATGGATGAGTAATGTTAGTTATTTAGAAAAAGAACATAAGTCTTTAGTAAAGCGACTACTTCTTGCAGGTATTTGTACTCCTAATCTTTGTAAAAGGACCACTTTTTTAAAAACAGCATTCGTCTGGTAATTGGTTGGTTTTAGACCTCACGCTATCGATTTTTTGAATCTTTTCATTTCGAGAATATCGTTTTGCAAGAATCGATAATTTTTGTAGAGAGTTACTATAAAGTGCGACATGATAAAGTTATACTCATGAATAACTTACTTTCGTCACTCTCTGTGGAAGCGGATCAGTCTCTACTGCTTGCGTCATCACTTGCAGCATTGTTGTGAGGATTTCCTTGTCCTACAATATGAGCGCATTTCGAAGATTTACCCGCAGCAGTACTATCACAATAAACAATGTCAAAAAGCACCTACCGTCATGTCTCGAACATTTTTCTCCTCAGCCCTATCTGCTTTCTTCTTTTTGCTTCGTTTTCCAAATGATAGGAAGGAAGCCTCACTTCCTCCTTCGACGTGATTGGTGTCTGGTCTCTTAGCCTATGAATGTTTGATTTCTAGGTTTTAGATAAGATAAGCATAGGATTTCTACCTGCAAAGCTGCTAGTCGCAAAATGATCTCATCAATTTGGAATTGGGCTATATCTGTTTGTGCTTGTACATCTACAGCATCTACATCTTCTTTAGGACTCACTAGACAACCGTTTCTGTAAACCGCTTTGCTTCAAGAGGATCCCAATCGTAAGACAAGTCAATAGAAATAACGAAATTATATTGTAAAATTCGCCTGGGATGTTCAGGTAAGTATTGCCTTACCTAATCGAAAGAAAGAGGAATGATTTAGTTTGGAATTCATAGTTTTTGACTCACCCAATAGAATCGACGGGTTCCGAGCCTGTTGTGCTGAATGCAACTCTTTTCTGACTTCGAGGTGTAAGTTTGAGTGCTGCATAGCTAAATTTGATAGCTCATTTAATTCATTCATTCATTCATTCATTCATTCATTCATTCATTCATTCATTCATTCTCGTTCATTCTCATTCATTCATTCATTCACTCGTTCGTCCATTCAATCATCCATCGAATATTCGCTTTATCCGACTCGACCATTCATTAAGTCTGCGATGACCAAACCTTAAAGAATCCATCGGAAGGCTTGTAGCATCAGATATGGAGTCACGATCGTCGGCAAAAGAGGTATTCTCATCTGGGATAGATGATGGAAATTGTCTGAAAATCAACCATGCGATAGATAGATATTGATTGATGCTGGAGATTTACTTACTTGGACCATTGTGTTTCACCGTTTGCCATGATTATATGGCTGGTTTCTGACATTGGATCACAAGCCATGCTCTACAAATCATATAACAACTATCCAGTCATATTGGGATTTTAGGACAACTGGTCGTGGGACTCACATTAGCGAGATTGTCCATTTGTGTACTAGCAACAAAGAAGGTTGGTGGTTCTGTCTGGATATTCTTGGTGTTTGTTTGACGTACTATTCTTTCAAATTGCTCCGCCTGAAATCATCATTTTATTATGAAAATTTCGCGAGAATAACAAAAATGGATTGCTGAATTTACCGTCTCTTCGATTTTCTCCTTCTGCTCTTCTGACATCAGGTCCGGACCGAACAACTTCATGAAAAATGGTTGGTCTTCCATTGCCTTCTTGCGAATCTCTTCATGATCGAATGGGGTACCGGTAGCCAAATTTTTTTGGTATTCTTCCTGCAAATTGGAAATTTCGTAGCATTACAAAAATTCATTTAAAGATAGAGATTTTGGCAAGAAATTTGTTCAAACCTGCATTCTTATCATCAAGTTGTAAAGACATTCTTCGAATTTGATTTGTATCACAGTTAACAGCATGGAAACGATGGATAACCCGATAATTACAAGCCAAAACATCAAAATAAGCATATGTGGATGATCGGGAACGACATCACCTTGAAACAAAAATGGAATAAATAACTTGCAAAAAGTTCAGAATCTAAAGGTGTTCTGCCTTCTTTCCCGTTCTACACGGGGCATTTTTTTTTGTTTAAAAAAATGTAGACAATCATGAGCCTACGTTTGGAGATAACTAAGATAACTTGGAAACTGCTTACGCGGCGCTCTAAACAATTTCTTTTTTTTAGCATTTTACGGTTTAACTTGGGTCCAAACTCAAATTGGTGAACAGTGATTGGTCGATCAGTTACACAATACGTGCGTGAATTTACGCCAAATAATGTAGATTTAGGAGCAACAAAAACAGTATGAAGATATTCCAAGAACCACTCGCATTACAAATTTTTAGACATCTAAAAATTGCAATGAAAAGTTTACGTTCAAAAGTTTTGTGCATTTGCCTTCATTTGGCGTAAAACCACCCGTATTGTGTACTGTCTAAAATCGAGCGATCGATATTAAGCAATTTGAATATAGAGGTCCCTTAACTGAAACTGAGCTATAAAATTTCCTCAAACAATGACCTTGGCTCAAATAATTTCTTCCATTGTTTCTTTGATTCACCATTATATTTTGCCTCTTGTCGCCTTGGTTTCAAGCCGTATTTATCAAAG